TTATGAACAATTTAGAAGTATTCTGTGTAATTCTGAAAAACAAATGAAGGATAGAATTTATGATTTAATTTCTATAGATTTTCTAGATAAATTAGAGAGAATGCATCCAGAAATATTAAGAATAGGTATGTTTTCCTCAATAACACGTTTCTAACAAGTCCGAACAATTCGATCACGAAAGATGAGTTTCAGCGTGAGTTAACCCCGAATAGACATTTCTCTCCTTATTAAATACATAGGTTCAATTCCATTCCTATTTATCGATAGGGATTGAATTATATAAATTTAAATAATTTGCACAAAATTAAAAAATAATTCTCTCTTTTTCTAAATATTAAAAATCAAAGCCCGGCCGGAGGGGTTGGTCGATATTCGATATAAAAATATCGAAAAATATTTAAAAAATATCGTATCGAGCCGGGCTCTATTAAAAATTAATTATAATTTTATACTAGATGAAATGCAAACAAATATGAGAATTGAATATTACAAAAAATATCTTAATGATAAAATTAATTCAAACAATGCAGAAATGAGAATAAATATTTCTTTATTAATTCAACAATTAATAACTTTAGAAAATATGGAATTTGAAAATAAAAATATATTTAAAATAATTAAAAATAAAATTAAATGGGCGAAAAAAATAATTTTTAATGATAAAGAAAATGATATTATGTCTCCAAAAGTTTTTTGTTTTTTAGAACGTTTTATTCATTTTATTTCAATGGCTATTAATAAAAATAATTTTTCATCTAAAAAAGAAATATTAGAGTGGAATGGAGAATTTTGTAATGATGAAGAACAACAAGAAGTTGCTTTAAAAGATGTACATTTAGCTGTTGAAAATCAACACAAAATGTTTTTTGAATCAAATGAACATCTTTTTGGAAACTTGACAGTTGAACCTGGCAAAAAAGCTCGTTTAAGAAAAATGATTCCTTCCTTAAGAATAAATAATTTATTTGATAGTTTGTTTAAATTTTTTAATTAATTATTAAATATTTGGATTTTTTTATTAGTCCATTGAAAATATTTAATATATTTAAATTTTTTTATTAGTCCATTGAAAAAATGTACGGTTTGAGGTTTCTTTACTGGATGGACCGCCAATCGCGCGAATAAGGACATTACTGCTTCTAGGCCGGGTTGCTACCATGTAATAAACTGGAACGATTTTTATAAGAAGATTAGTACCAAAAATATGAAATTGGAACATATAAATAAATTTATGTGTATATTAAACTCAATTTAAAAAATTTATTCATAAATACATATTCTTTTTACAGTTTTTTCATCAGATGTACGTCTTCTTTATCATTTTATACAAGCAATAACATCTAATGATGAAAGAACTCGTTTAGCAAATAAATTAGGTATTGACTATTTCTCCTGGTATCGTTGGTTTGAAAAAGAATTCGAAAATTCTGATCAAAATAATAAATTTATACAAATATTTGTTGATGTTTGGGATGATTTATATTGGGAATTGTTAATTAAATATGATGAAATTTTTGATTTGGAGGAATTGCCAGAATTGAGAATTAAAAAGACAAATTTATTAAATATGCAATTTAATTTATATTATTTATTTAATAATAAAAAACAAAAAGAAAATAAAAAAGTAGAGGAGGAAGAAGATGATATTATTTATAAAATATCACAAAAATTAATTTCAATAATTGAAGGTAAAGAGAAAAATAATAATAATGAAAAATTAAACGATAAATATTTTAATTGGATTGGACAACAAAATGGGGAACAATTAATTAATTTAATTGATATAGAAGGAATCGAAAAAAAAATAATAAATAAAAGTCAAATAGAGAAAATTAACAAATTTATTCAAATAATTAAACAAAGTAATTGAAAATTAAACTCAATTAGCTCTATTGAAATGTTTTAGGGGTTCCATAATAATTTTTACTATTTTCTGTTTAATCGAAGTAATATCATTAGGAATTTTATCTTATCAAAATTCTTAAAATCTTCAACCATTTTTTCTATTTAGGATGTTTCCCTAGATGTGTGTCATTTCAGAAATCCTTTCAAAAAAATTCTCGATTTTTAGAATCAGAATTCCCGATACCAAAAACGTCGGGGATTCCAGATTTTAGGAAATTAGGACGTTAGGATCGGTAGGCAGAGTAATGACACAGAAAAATAAGTTTTTGATATTCCTCTTGATATTTAAAATTCCCAAATTTAATCCATAAAGGGAAGGGCAACAGGGTGGCCTTTTCCAAACCACTAAAATGGGGCGCAGCCACTCAAAAATAGGGAAAAAATAGGGCGAAATCGGTCAAAAATAGGGCAAAAAATAGGGAATTATTTTAAAAACGTAAAAATGATTAAAATTATAAATAAAAAGCTTTATTCTGCATGTTCTCTACTAATTTTAACTAAATTGAGCAGGTCTGAATGTCTCAAAAAATCTCGATCTCGATAATCTAGATTATCGTTCGAGATCACGTCTCGATCCGGTCTCTAGTTCAGATATCCGAATTTGGCACCGATAATAGCGCAAAATCCTTTAGAGATACTTTCTTTTATCTGCCTCTAATAGCCTGTATCTAACTTTCAACGCCGTAGGCGAAAATTTTTTGAAATTTTGAATTAGCAATACGTCAGATTACTTTCATTTTCAGCAAAATATCGAGAATTTTGAAAGCTTAAGAAAGCAGATTTCTCCCTTTTTTAGCGCCGCAGGCGAAAATTTTGAGAAATTACGATGACCAAGAGGAGAGTTTTATACTTTTTTTAGCGCCGCAGGCGAAAATTTTGGAAATTTTGATGTCCAAGAGTCAGTTTTCTTTGTTTTTTTCGCATTTTTTTACAAATGACAAAAAATTTGAAAAATATTACAAAATGCTAAAAATAGGGCAAAATATGGCAAAAGTATAAAATAGGGAAAAAATAGGGCGAAAAGATCAAAAATAGGGAAAATCCTCTATAAATAGGGTAAAAAGGCCACCCTGAAGGGCAAGGCTTTCTAAATTAATTTATTTAATAGGGAGAATATTCTTAAAATTATTTTTAGATTTGAATGAGGAAAAGCAAAAATTATTTTTTATATTGGAATATAATGAAAATATCTTTGAAAAAATAATGGGAATATTAAATATTCAAATTAATGAAAATGAATTATTTTTAGAAGAAAATAAGGAAATAATTAAAAATAATAATCAAAATAATAATAAATTAAGTAAAAAAGAAAGGGAAAAATTAAAAAAGAAAAATAAAAAGAAAAGTAAAAAACAAAAATTAACTGAAAAATCTTCGGAAATTAATTCTGAAAAGTCTTTTGAATTAATTAAAAGTGAAGAAAATATTAATGAGGAAATTAATAAAGAAAAAATTAGTATTGTTGATAGTGAAGAAAGTAAAAATAATGAAGTAATAATAAATGAAGATAATAATAGAATGGAATTAATTGATAAAGGAAAGGAAACGGTAATCTAGAAAAATTTAAGAAATAAGTAATTATAGGGAATCTAAAAAAATAAAAATATATAAATCGAATTATAATTAAAGAGTATATTGAGGACTGGAGTGTCGTACGAGAATCGAAATCTCGAAAAATTCCCGATCTCGATAACGAGATTTTCCATCGAGATCTCGTCTCGGACCGGTCTCTAGTATAAAGCCTCTACTCAATTTCCAAAAAATAAATTTATTAATTTTTAAAGATTTATTCTTCTGAAGAAAATGAAATATTAACAACAAAGACAACAAATAAAAAATTAAATAAAATAATTAAAATAATTAAAGAAAGACCTTCAAGTTCAACATCAAAATATACAATTTTGCCTATAGATTTTATTAATAATGGATTTAATCATTTTTATCAAAATTTATTCAAAAATAAATTAAAAAATAAAGAAATGATTGAAATTGGGAATTTAATTAATTATATTGAAAAAAATATAAAAAAATATTTACTAAATAAAAAACAAATATTAAGTAAAGAAATTAATTTAATAAATGAAGAATGGAATTTAATTAAAGAATTTGAATTAAATAAAAGAATTGAAAATTTTGGAAAAATAAAAAAAGAATTGAAAAAATTTTTGGATAAATTAATTAATATTGAGGAAATGGAAGTTGAACAGGGAACGGTTAGTTAATTTAGTAAAAATGCTTTCTTAAATAATTTTTGGGGAAATGGAAATTAAATAAATAATTTTTAAAAAGTAACTTAATAAAAAGGATTAGAAAATTTTATATTTATTTTTAAAAAATGTAATAAATTCTCTAAATTGGGTGTAACCCATTTTATTTTAAAAATGTTAATTAATTTGTAAATTTGTGTTAGTCTAAATTAGGGTAGCTCCCCTAGCCTTCGGGGTCGGATGTGTCGGGGATTGGGGTACGGGGCAGGGTTGGGCTTATTTCGCACTTTCGCGTTTCGCATCTTTCGCATTCTCGCATTTTTTGGCGCGAAAGGTTTCGCATTTCGCTTTTAATTTTTATATTTCGCCCAGCCCTGGTACGGGGGATGGGAAGCTACCCTAGTTCAAATAATCGAATTAATTCTGGAGTAATTCCAATTATCTTGTATCAAAGTCTGTGATTTTTACTCTTAATTATAGACAGCTGGTTCATATTTTTTACCTTTTTTTACTACACTACATAAAATTATCCCTAAAATATATTATGTATATGTACATATTTAATTTATAGTTAATTGATGTTTTGAATGAAAATGGATATTATGAAATAGAATCTTTTGAAAAAAATAAAATTGAAGGAATTATAGAACAAATAAAAGGAATAATTAATTTTTGGGTAACTACATATTTTAATTATTTTTAAAAATATTTTTAAAAAATTATTTTAAGAAAAATAATTCAATTTTATTAATTGGAGGCTCTTATTTATTTGAAGGTTATTCTCAAAAATCAGATATAGATTGTGTTATATTAATACCTTATAATCCAAAAATAATTAATTGGGAAACTATTATTTTTCAAGAATTTTTTGGCCAATCAGAATGCAACATGGAAACAAGAAAATGTGAAGGATGGTCACTTTATTGTATTCTTTGTTGGGTAGGTTATATATTTTTAAATAATTTTAAATACTTCTGTAAAAAATATTTAAGAGCACATTTTTGTGATAAAATGTCTAATAATAAATAATTTAAAATTTAAGGATTCATCAACAGAATCATTATCAAAAATTAAATCAAATATTTTTCTAATAAAATTGTTCTATTCTGGTTTGGAATTTGATTTAAATATAGTTACACTTCCGTGGAATGAAGAAATAAATAATTTAATGCCTAAATATGGACATTTAAATATTAATATAATTGATAGTATAATTGAGCGTTTTTTAAAAGAAATTGGAGTTAATAGGTTAATGGCAAATAAATGGGCTGATAGAAGAAAGGGAATGTTACTTGTACTTTCTGGTATTTATTTTTGGAATTTTTAATGAAATTATTGGATTTAAGAGAATAATTATTCGGGTATTTGTTAAATTAATATTTAATTAATTTTTAAGGTTATCGAGCAAATGTACAGGTTATTAATTTATTGGGACATTCTACAACAATTTTCCGTTTAGTACTTATGACAATGAAATTTTGGTTTCAAAGTAAAATTTAAATAAAATTATTATTTAAATTTAAATTTTTTCAAGATCATTCAATATATGGAGGCAAATTTGGTTTTATAAATGGCACAACTCTTGCAATTTTAATTTGTAATATTATTCTTAAAAATCCTCACAATAATTCCATTATCAAAATATTTAAAGAATTTATGGAAATATATTCACAAATGTAAAAAATATTTTTTAAAATAAATTTATTTTATTTTTTTAAAGAGACTTCCCACAAATTAATTTAAATAAAACAATAATAAAACAAAAATGGATAACAGAATTTGATGAAAAAATTATTTGGAATTCTGAAAAAGAAATTTCTGATAGAAAAGAACATTTTAAATTAAATTTAAATCCAGAATTGGAAAAACATACAAAAATTATTTGGGCAGTAATTACTCCTTCCTTTCCTGAACAAAATGCTGCTTTTAATATAAATCAGTCTACAGCTACAATTATTAGACATGAATTAATTGAAGGTAGGGAGGGGTTTTGTTTGAAAAATATTAAAAATAAATTATTAAATTTTTCATATTTCATTTCAAAATTTAAATTTATGTTATTATTTAATCATAAAAAATTAAAATAAAATAAACACTGAAAATTCTCTAAACATGCGGCAGCTTTTTATTTTTCAATACCTCCTCGGAGGGTATATCTAATATTGGGTGCCGTTCACTTAAAAGATTAACGATATTTTAATTTAATCTTTTATAATTAATGAAACTTCTTCTCATAATTATAGTATCTAAATTTTAAAAATTTTAATATTAGGCTATATTTCCTTTAATGATTTAGTAAGATACATTTAAAGTCAGGCTTGGTAATGGATAAGGATATGGATACAGATCATTAAAAAATTCCTACGGATATCCACCTGTATCCACCCGTAAATATCCGGATACGGATATCAAAATCTATGTCCATTACCTTTTTAAAATTTGTTATGAAATATATTTAACAATTTATTTTTACTTTTTTTTCCAAAAAACACTACCTTCAATTTCCGGTATTTAAGGTATTGAAGAATTAAAAAATATAGAATTAGCATTAAATAAATATAAACAAGATAAAATACCAACAATTATTCTTAAACAAGAATGGATTAAATGGTTAAAAGGCAAAAAATTTGAAGAAAAGGTTTTTCTCGTCATATATTTTTTTCTAAATTTTAATTTTTTCAAGTACCAACATTATTTAGCCGTTATTTGTTATTATTCCCCTACAAGTTTATATGGAAATTCTTTTTGTAATTTTGTAGAAACGAGGATTAGATTACAATTATTATTTTCTTTAGAAAATAAACAAAATAATTTAAATATAAATTATTGTCATATACACCCAAAAAGAATAATTAAAAACAATAAATGCCCCCCATACTTTTTTAATTATCAAAATAATTCTTGGATTTGTAATGTTTGGTTAATTGGAATTAAAAAAGATGAAAAAACTAAAACAAAAAGATTGCCTATATTTGAATTTATATCAGAAGAGGAAGGAATATTTGAAGAGTTTGTGAGAAATATAGAAGCGAGTTATTTGAGAATATTGGCTAAAGAAAATAAATTATCTGAAGAAGAAACTGCTAAATTTATGTTAAAATCTAAATATATGACAGTAGAAGAATTGAGAAAATTAAATAAAAAATAAAGAATATTTATAGAATAATTAAAGAAATTAATTAATTATTTTTATTTAGTGTTAGTGAATATTTATGTTTACAAAGTTTTCATTTCAATGAAATTTAAAAAATTTTTGATAAAATATACGTCTACTTTTTTAAAAATTTTTGTTTATTCAATATCAAACGGTGCCGTGTGATTTCGCTAATATATGATTTAGGCAGTGAGTAATATAGGCAGTGAGAAATTAAGGAAGTAAGGTACTTTATGGATATGTCACCCCCCTCCTATTTTGTTCTCAGAGTTTTCCTTATAAGTAGAAAATGGTCAGAGATTATTTTCTTCTCCACGTCAATCATTTTTTTCTTCTTCAAGTATTTTGCTTGTTTATTTTGCCTTTTCACATATTTTTGAATTTTGTACTTACATTTTTTCACTCATTTCGTTTCCTCATTTACCACATTTCACTTATTTTGCTTGAGGAAAAAAATGATTGACGGGGAGAAGAAAATAATCTCTGACCATTTTCTACGTATAAGGAAAACTCTAAGACTCAAAATAGGAGGGGGGGGGGGGTGACATATCCATAAAGTACCGGTAATCTTAAAAAATAATTTTTCCCACAAAAATAATTAGAGTAACATTTGAAAGAATTGTGAATAATCTGGACATTAAGGAAGATCAAGAAGATTTTGAGGGGATATCGGGAGATTTGGGAGGCTTAAGAAGAATTCCAAATCCTTCATGGTAAGAAAATTAGAACGACTGTGGTTGATATATACGATAAGCAAGTAATTCTGAAGCAAGTAAATTATTTGGATTAGTCGGAATATGGTTGCAGATCCAGATATCGGATCCAGAAAAAGTCCGGACATGTCGCCGAAGCGACGTTTGCCAGAATATATTTAAATATTTTTGATTTTTTATTTGGTGATCTTTTGCACCGTCTATTTATTTAATCGTTTGTACCAGTTGTCCATATCTCTTTTGTTAGCCACACCCTTTTGTGCTAACCCCATTTCTGATCATTTCTCCTATGCTTATTCAATCATTTAATTTATTTTTAAGTTTTATAGCTATTTTTAGCTCTATTTACTCTCTGTGTTTTTTCTCCTTAGTTTACTTTTACATTTTTTCCCCACCTGCGCCTTAGTTAATTTTTTCGACTTAGGTTTTGGCCTTTAATCCATTTTTATTTTCTTTAACTAATTAGGCCAAACTTAAGTCTTTTTTCACTCATTTCATTTATGGTTTAATTACCCAAGTTTAAGGTCCTGAATAAATATTTATTTGTTTATTCTCTTTTGCTTGGTATTCCTTTAAATCGCCGTCCTAAGGCGTGTCAGATCCCGCTCGTCCACTAAAGAGCGCGTGATCACTTCCGCTCGTCCATTTAAGAGCCGCAATCCAATAAGCTCGTCAATCTACAGAGCTTTGGTTCCATCCTTTCGCCCACTAGAGAGGATCACCTTTTCGAAGATTGAGGGATTCCCGGGACATTCCAGCTCAGCTACCTCCCGACTAGCTCAGCTCCTCTTCACTTTATTCAGTCTAATTCAACCTCCCGACAGCTGTGCGGTTCATACCGTCGCGCCGCACCCAGCTCATCATTCTTACAGCGACATACTTTATGGTGCCACGACCCGGGACCCTTCTCTTCTCGTCATAAATTTCATTAAATTAAATTTTTTTTCTTCTGTTTTTCAACCGACAGGCAACTTCCAGCCAACTCAACACTACTTCTTCTGTCGACACTTCAATTCGACTCATCAGTTCTACACTCACCAGATCGCCCAATTAGATCTTCAACTACAGAACTTCTCAACCATCACAACTCTACAGTCTACAATACTCATCTATCTACCGTCACAACTCAACAAATCTACATAATTTCATTCAACATGTCGTCGGGACCAATCCGCCGAATGATCGTCCCAGCCATCAGACAACTCAAAACCAACATCAACGAAGCTACCAACATTATCACCGCCCAACAAGAGGTGTTAGAAGAACAGCAACTCCAACTACTACACAAACTTCGCAAGCAGTTGGCAAGTAATACCGTAAGGATAGAAAATTTAAACCGGGAGTGGGCAGAATTTATGAAAAAAATTGATCCGGATAACCTACCCGAGGAGGAAAGAATATATGAGCTTTCAACGTCCGGGCCCAAATGACCCCCTACTAGAAGATTACCGGCACTTTACTGAATGGGTCGCCGACGCCCGGGCTCTCATCGACACAATCGATGAAATAGTCGAGCGGGAGAGCACTTCCGGCAATCTCCAGTCCAGGACTAGATCACGGAGCGCTTCGATTCAATCCCGACACTCGCATCCTTCCCAGCGGGCATACCAACAGGATTTACCACGCAATCCGGCTTACGACTCGTTCAAAATCGCGCCCATGGAAATTCCGAAGTTTTCTGGGGAACCGGAAAAATGGACCAGTTTTTGGCAATGCTTCGAATTGGCCATCCATAATAATCCGAACATACCGGACGCGCTGAAAATCCATCATTTGTGTAATTTACTCCGGGGATCAGCAGAATCTACAGTCCAAGGATACCCGAGAGTAGCAGAAAATTATCCGATTATAGTGGAATGCTTGAAGGGGAGATACGGTAGCACCCGCAACCTAAGGGAAACCCTCCAATCAGAGCTCCTTCAACTGCCAGCTACAAAGGACTCCGCTGACTCACTTCGCGCCTTTTGTGACAATATCGAAAGAATTTGCAGGCAATTGGAATGCAATTTTAGCACAAAAGAAGACGCGTCTCTATTAGCCACCACAATTAAGGCCAAGCTGCCGTCCACACTTATTGAAAAAATAATCGAAAGGGAACGAAGTTCACCTGCCGGGGAATGGACACATAAGGAACTTAGGAATTTCCTATTAGAACAAGTGGCAATAATAGAGGAAGTGGAAATGTGCACAAAAAGATTGAAAGTCCCGTCCAGTCAAAGGGAAGATATTCAGCCGACTCGCCAACAAAAGAGTCACCGGCCAGCACATTCCCCGCCAGCCAACTTTACCCGCACATTCACAGCCATTGAAAAGAATGTCGGCCAATGTTCACTTTGTACTGGAGATCACCTCCCTTCAGTTTGCCACAAATTCCCAACACCCGAAAGCCGCAAAACCCGCTTGCAGGCTCAACGCAGGTGTTTGAATTGTTTACGCGAAGGACATAAAATAAGCCAGTGTACATCGACCAAAAGATGTAGAAAATGCAGCGGCAAGCACCACTTTATTATCTGCACCCGCCAAAAAGGGGAGCAATACAAAAGGAAAATTAGTCACCCTACTAGCCAGCAAAATAACTCTTTTCGAGGGAATGAAAACTTGTCACCGGTTAATAGTCTGACTCATCAACCAGCTAAAATTTATACAAATTCGCGAATTAATTCGGAAAGCGAATCCGGAACAAACCAGAATGTTCCCGCAAACCCAGAAATGGCAATGACCGCCACCGAGTCAAAACCTCACACCTTTTTAATGACCTGCAAACTAAAATTAAGTTCTGGGAATAAACGTCCGATTTACACTACTATTGGTCTCTGGGACACCGGCTCCCAAACTTCCTACATTTCACAATCTTTGGTCGACCGTTTAAGACCACCGAGGGTTTCTACCTCCAATCACTCCGTCCGCGTATTTGGCGCCGATAAAGTCAAATTTCGCTCAACAGGACATAGAATTAGGCTCCATAAGCCCGATGGGAGATGGGAAGAAGCTGTATTCTGCTCAATTCCGCAAATCGTCCCGGCATTTCCATGTATTCAATGGGATGGAACTCGGATCCCTACTAACCGCCGAGACTTACAAAATATTCCCGTCAAAAATAGGGAACCGGAAATTCTACTAGGAGTTAGAGAGTTTTGGAGATTCTTCCTCGGATCCAGGAAAATAGGAAGAAATCTACATATTATCAAAACGCATTTTGGTTCGATGCTTTGCGGTGAAT